TCTAGAATTCCAGTAGCCATCAGACAGGTGACACAGAGTAGCACTAGCCCGTCACAAACTAGTCCTATCTTGAGCAAGGATCATACCATGCCTGGAAATAGAAGACGACGTAAAAGGCTTCAGCACAAGGCAGCCACAGGCAGTTCGTCACAATCCGTAGCACCTAATTCATGCAAGGAAGGCTGTATTACGACACCCGATGGCTGCAGTGTTTGCACCAAAGTTGTTTCGGTAGTCGATGAGGCATTTGCATGCAACCTATGTCAACGATGGGCGCATTGCCACTGCGACACCAAAGTCCCCCGACAATACTATAAGTTGATGAAGAGACAACCATGCAAGTGGTTCTGGTACATCTGTCCAGAGTGCAGGAAAATGCCCGCACTGCGCACAGAAAGCCTGAAGGAGATGCTCTCCGCCACGCAAAAGCTACCAGCACCCTCGAATAAAGTAGGGTTAACACCAAAAGATAACACAGAGAGACCTGGAAACAGACCTAGAGCTCCAGCTGTGGGCACGCCACCTCGCGTGGGGACCATATTAGGTCAAGTCTCCATACCTCCTACCCGGCCCCAGGGGACGTCAAGCGCATGGCCAAAGACATCGACCGCTAAAGCCTCTACGAAACCCATTCCAAACACCTACACACCGTGACTGAGAAACAACCAGTGGAATTACTCAAACCCATTGGGAAGTCGGGCGTGCCACCCACAACGAACCCAGGTCACAGGAGGACCAACTCGATCATTTTGTTCAACGTCGATGTATCGACAGACTCATTGTTGGTCGAGAGGGAACGGTTTGACAGCCGAATGTGGACCGACTACTGTCAGATGCTAGGACTCCCTCCCCTCCCTGCAACTTTATGTCGCCTTTCTCGAGGAAGCCGTGCACCCCGAGATAAGCCACCCCCTTTACGTGTGTCCCTAAATACTACCAAAGAGGCTGAAGACACACTCCTCCTCTCGCGACAACCGGACGTTGTTAATGCCTGTAAAATTCGGGCCAGGCCTGACAAGCCATGGTCAATAAGAGAGGAGGAGAGAAAGTCAGCGGTTGGAAATCCCAACAGAAACAACACTATAGTTGTACATGGGATTCCAGAATTGCCAAGTGACCGCTCGGTCAAAGATCGGTACTTTCACGACGTCCAACAATGGCAATGGCTCTCAACCAAAGTTGGTCTCAACAGTATACCGGCCAACAGCGTCAGTAGACTGCCAAGGCCAGCGCACCTGAAGACCATACCCAATCCCAGACTACTCGCCGTCCAGTTCGACTCATATGCCTCCCTCACAGACGTTCTACAGGCATGGTATAATGCGAAGGATCGCATGGGTGGCTCAATACGTATATGTGAAAGTAAGCCTAGACCCACAAGGCAAGAGGAGAGACGACAACCACCAAGACCTCTGGAGTCAGTGGTCGTCACACAGGCGCTGACCAGTGAGTTAGATACATCAAGTAAAGAAGCCACCACTGCCACAGCCCCCACCCAAGTTAATAACAAAACACCAAAAAACGGAACAATGCCAGTCCTATGAGGACTGGCGAGGGTAGACCCAACCACATAAGCTGTCATCCTGCGAAAATACACAACCAGACCTCCCCCTCACCAGGCACACTCTAATATGTATGTACAGCAACGTTAGGGGGCTAAGAGGGAAGGTAGCAGAAATGAGGACGCTGCGTGCACATCAGCACTCCGACATCATATTCATCACCGAATCCTGGCTCTCGCCAGACATCTCCGACGAAGAGATGCATGTTACTGGCATGGAACTCTTCCGCAGGGACAGGGAACATAGAGCAGGAGGAGGAGTGGCTATCTACGTAAACTCCTGTTTAAAGGCAAGGATGGTTAGCGATACGGCCTTAACCCAGGTCCCAGAGTCCCTATGGTGCTACTTCACTCTCCACAGTACCAAATACCTGCTCGGAGTCATATATCGGTCCCCCACCTGCTCCCCTACACATAAGGAAATGATCATCAAGGCTATCTTAACGACTTCCTCTGCAAATTACGATTCCGTAGTCATTGCCGGCGACTTCAACACCCCGTCCATCCTCTTCGAGACGGAAGGGAGACGCATCAGATCCTTCAATCAGAAGCTGAAGGATGCAATTAAGACTGCTGGCCTCTCAGAGAAAGTGGGTGATGCTACACGCTGGGGACCTAACGGAAACGCATCGCGCCTTGACTACGTTCTGACGAACGATGAACTTCTCATTGAGGATGTTTGCATCCAACCTCCCCTTGGCCTCAGTGACCACGCTGTAATCACCTTCTCCATGATAACTAGGGAGGCTCTGCAACTGGAGACGCCCAACACCTTCCCTTGCTACAGCAAGGCCAACTATGAGACCATGAGGGACTACCTCATGAATGCATCATGGCCAGTGGACTGGACTCATCTCACAATAGATGAACACTGGTTGGAGGTGAAGAAAATAATCACTGGGGCCATCAGTCACAGTGTACCAGAAGTAACACACAGACAATCAATGAGAACCTCATGGTTAAAGCGTGGGACAGAGAGGCTTATCCGGAGCAAGAAGCAGGCTTGGTTCAAGTGGCTTACATCACGCAGGGAGTCTGACTTCTTGAACTATAAAAGGATTCGCAATCTCTGTAACATTAGAGTGCGTAACGACAGATTTTCCTACCAAACAAACTTGGCAGCGAGGTTACAAAGCAACCCCAAAAACCTGTACCGCTTCATGTCAAGAAGAAAGTCGACCAGTAAGGGAGTGAATCTTGTCACAGGCCATGACGGGAGTGTGCTAAGCAGTCTAGAGATTGCCGAGCTTTTGAGCTCACACTTCCAAGCCCAACTCAGCACTGACACAAGATCCACACCGACTCGCCACGACACCGACCAGGTCGCAAATAACGAATACCTCTGTCACGTCTCTATTACAGAGAAAAAGGTGTTCGAGAAGCTATCTAGGCTACGTCCGGGCAAGTCCCCTGGCTGCGATAACCTGAAACCAGTGGTTCTGAAAAACTGCGCCGAGGTGCTTACCAAACCACTTCGCAACCTCTTTGAGCACTCAATAGACTCGTGCAAACTCCCTAAAGAATGGAAGAGCGCCATCTTGTCACCCATCTTCAAGGGAGGAGACAGAAAAAGCCCTGGCAGCTACAGGCCGATTGCCCTACTCCCTATTGTGTCGAAAGTGTTGGAAAGCCTGGTAGCTGACACCATCTGGGAATTCCTCAATAGGAAAACACTGTCCACACTGCTCAGCACGGCTTTCGTAGTGGTCGCTCATGTGCCACCAACTTACTAACCGCCTGGGACGACTGGACACAAAGCTGGGATAATAGAAAACCTGTACATGTTGTATTTCTCGACCTAGCCAAAGCATTTGACAGTGTCCCACCCACAGTACTGCTTCACAAGATCATGTCAGCTGGTATAAGTGGACCCCTACTCTCTTGGTTCAAGGAGTACCTGGAAGGGAGGCAGTTCTGCACTAAAGTGAACAGAATAAGGTCGGAGTGGAGACCGTCGACGTCAGGAGTATCCCAAGGAGCAATCCTAGGACCGCTTCTGTTCCTCCTGTTTGTCAACGATCTGCCAGACAAAATATCCTCACCCATCCTCCTCTTCGCTGACGACATAAAAATTTGGAGGGTGGTAAACGAAGAAGCCGACTGTGCAGCACTACAAAAGGACTTGCAGCAACTCGAGCTCTGGTCGTCGGAAAATGGCCTGAGCTTCAACTCGGAAAAGTGCAAAGTAATGCACATCAGTAAAAATGAGGCAAGTACGACCGACTTCCAGTACATGTTGAGCAACCGTGCTATCACCAGAGTGTCCATGGAGAAAGATTTGGGGCTCAACTTCTCCGACACCTTGGACACCAGCTCCAACTACAAAGGTATGACAACCAGAGCGAACGCCATTCTACACTTTCTGCGTAGACAGCTTGGCGCCCTCACTCCCGAACTCTTCCTCACCATTTTCAAATCCTACGTGCGGCCGCACCTAGAGGTCTTCAATACGGTGGCTCCTCCAACACTCAAGAGAGACTCTAATCTCCTTGAAAGAATACAAAGAACTGCAACAAAATCAGTTGTGGGGCTAAGGGGAAAGACGTATCCTGAAAGACTTAAACACCTCAACCTATTTACCTTGGGTTATCGCAGGAAAAGGGGTGACCTCATTATGGCATACAAGATCGCCCATCAGGCAGACCATGCAAACAAATCAATTTTGCCTGCAACTGAACGATCTTCACGAGGAAACCCCTTTAAGATAGCACACCAGAGAGCCAACACCACACTCAGGTCCAAATTTTTCTCCCTGAGAGTATGTGCTTTATGGAATGCCTTACCGCGACACATCGTTATAGCTCCTTCAATCGACTCTTTCAAGAGGCGATTAGACAGTTATGTCACCTCGCATGGACTACCACGGACGTACTCAGGTAGTCACCAACCTCAGTACCCCCAACTCCCTCCTAACTACCACTCACTATCTCTCTCCTTAATACACCCACATTACCTACTAATTCTTCTGTAGGAACCAAACCCACGCGACCATTCGGGCAATTCCCAAATACTTTTCTTTCGTTCTCATTTCTCTTTTCACTCCTCCTTTTCTTCTCCTTCCCTTTTCTCTTCCCTACATTTCATTATTTTTTCCTTTTTTTCTTCTCTTCCTTATTTCTCTCTTCATTCCTTTACCACTACCTTACTATTCTCTTTCAGGTACCTACACAGACAGGAGTCACGGTTGTTCTCTAAACTTCCCAGCAGCCCGTAGCTCCCTAATCACTCTACAAATTACAACCTACTAACCCACAAAACATCCACCTCACCGAAGCTAAAAGCAAGAAAGCAGAGGGGATTTCCTCGTCCACTGCAGGAGTAAACCGAACAATTCGAACCAAGCCCTAAGAACTAGACGCGAGAGATCAAAAACTACCAGTTTTCTACGCTCGCACTATCAATATTGGATATTGGATATTGGGTTTGGCCAGTGTCCAATGCACACATTTCAAACTTAAACAGTGATGGCGAACCGTAAGAGAAATAGGCCTGAAGATTGGGAGGATTTGGAGCCGTCTCCTGTCATCCACATACGAGAGTTACCGGAGCACACACTTGAACTTGATTTAATTCGTGTTTTTGAACAGTTTGGGTCTATTAGAGATATTGCCATGATTCCCCATAAGGGCCAAGCGTTAATCGAGTTTGATGACATTAATTGTGCAGAAAGAGCTGTTTCTAGGTACTACATGGATCATTTAATCAGATTTATCATCATAGGTGTTCAGAAAATTCTGTAATGTTCGCTAATCGTCGCTTGAAAGTGAATTACAGCACGTCGAAACGGGTCATTCACCGACCTCTAGAGAACGACAGCCAACATTCTGATTTGCCACCAGAAAGTCGCGTGCTTCTATTAACTGTTTACAATGCACAGTATCCAATAACCGTGGATGTTATTCATCAGATTACTGTCAAACATGGTCGTGTTTTGAGGATTGTCATTCTACGCAAATCTAGAATACAGGTGAGTGTATTCATATAATCTTATATGTTGGAAGGCTATGGTTGAGTTCAAAAGTACAGACGAGGCTCGCACGGCTAAAAGACACCTGAACGGGGCAGATATATATTCGGGATGTTGTACTCTAAAAGTTGAATTCGCTCGCCCTGCGCGTCTGACCGTAACTCGTAATGATCAAGACACATGGGATTTTGAGAATCCACTACTTTTGTCTGATTCACTAAATGACAACGATAGTCGTGGAGATATTTCTTTGCTGGGTAAGTGCATATCATAATCATGCATATCTTAGGACGTTTCGAACGGTCTCGTGCGAGACATGAGAGTTCCAGGTCTGTTAATGGTGGTAGCTATGGATATCATGATGGCTTCTTGAAACAGAACAGTGTTGGTCTTAGTGTCCCACCCTCTTCTTTTCTGGATCAACTAGCTCTGAATTATCACGTTTCAAGGCGTGGTTTTGATGGATTAAACGGTCAACCTTATGCCAGAGCCGCTACTCCTGTCATTATGGTATATAACATGGACATGGACCATATGAATTGTGACCGGTAAGTATCTGAGTCCATCGTTCTGATAGTGTCAGATGGTTGTAAAGTCTCCAAATTTTTAGTCAGTCCTTGTATTTCCCGCAGATTATCTGCATTTTCATTATGATTCTCAGTGTTGTCATTAAATTCATTGGTAGTCTTCATTCAGAAGTCAAGTAAAGGTTTGAAGGGTGTATTTATTACCAGGCTACGTACTTTCAATTGCATGCTATTACGAATTTCCCTTGAACGTAATACATACTGGGACGTATCTACCTGTTATCCGTATACCAATGTCTTTGCCTAGGTTCTTTAGGATCGTTACAGGTTTCTTTACTAAGACTGACATTAGATGCAAGCAGTTGACTAAAGAAACTACCGGACTCGTGCTTTTCAATTCAGTGAAGATACTGTAAATTTGTTGAGTACACTTTAGCACCTAATCCCATCAGGTATTTTGATAATCATCCCTTAACGTATGGTATTAAAAGTGGGTTCACTAGTATCACCCTTATCAACAAACCAGTGTATTGGACTATTATAAGTAGACTCACACGGACTTGTCTCTTGAACTCAGTATGTAACTCGGTTATGGATAATGCTCTCAACTAACCATAGGTGAGAGTGTAATCGGGTTTGGGGAACTGAGCTAGAGATCAGTCTGTAGATTGCTAGCTTCAGATCCCCCGGGCTAATTTTATCAGAAGTTCCCTAGGGTTTTTTGCCATTCGAATCCCTGAACAATTCAGTTATGCGACATTTCTAGGGAAAACATGTGGAGAGTAGTACATCCAGTTTCTTCCAGGTTCACAACTTATCCCCAAGGTGGTATGTAGGATGGCACCAGAGTAGGAGCTGAGCAATAAATCTACATCTGAGTGCACCATCGAAGTGAACGATAAGATGTCTGTGGGTAGTGTCTTCAGTAAACACAGTTCCAAACCTTGGGCAGTAGGTCATTAGCTTCAAAAACAGTAAAATATGATAGTACATGACCCTGCGCTGCGTATCAGCGCCCGCTCACGCATTTTCGACCTAGTGATGGAAACTTTTTAAGGCTAAAAAGGTACTGGCATCCGAAGATGTGAAGATATCTCAAAAACTCTTGAAAACAACGCAAATGTTTGGAACGATTACGATATTTGGGAGGGACAGCTTGTGTGCTTTCGAGTTGTAACAGCGAGTATTGGTAGTGAATTATCGCCAACTGGATGTAGTAAGTGATTGTGTAACCGCCTATATCTAGCATAACCAATATAGATTTGTACTCAAACAATCTTTGATTCTTTCCCGCCAAATCTGAATCTGCCACTTACCGATTAGTGTTTTAATATAGACCTTATCTAGTAAAACTACCCATGTGGTTTATGAGAAGCCGTTCACTTCAAGTATTGATGCTGTGAGTTGGTGTGTTCACACACCACCACACACTTCCTTCAAAGCTATCAAGAATATCATCAATGGCAAAGTTGAGGAGGAATAGAGAAATCGGGCAACCCTGCCTAACCCCACTGGTGGTTTGAAACAATGGAAATAGGTGGTTGTATGCCCTCATCCTATCTGAATTGTTGTTACATAGAGATTTCAGGATGTTAATAAATTTCTCATGCACGCTCTTCTCCAACTGTCAGTTCCAGAGTACAGCTCTGTCCAACAAATCGAAAGCATCCCTGATGTTAAGAAACACGATTGTTAGCCTGCAATACGTGTGGCGTTGTTCAAGCATCTGGCGGAGGGTAAACACATGGTCAATAGATCCATGGCCTAAACAAAACCCGACCTGCTCCTCGCGAATCATTTCAAGTGTCTGCGAAATATGATAGCTACTAACATCTTAGACGCTACTCATAACACACAAACACCTCGTTGATTGTCACATACATTACGTAGATCGTTTTTAAAGATGGGCATGACAATGGCTTCATTTCAGAGTGATGGAACACTCTCAGGCTGCCATACCCTCTCAACTACTCTAGTCAGTCCCCTGACTAGAGTCATTCCTCTATCCTTAAAGTGTTTGGGGTAAGTTATTTGGGTTGGGTGCCTTGTAGCTTGTCAAAACTTGGAGTTCCTTATGGACCTCCACTTCGTTAGGTGGGTCAGTGTTAACTTACCGTGGGGCAGGATGCACCGAAGGTGACAGTGCTGGAGCTGTAGCCCAGTTAAACTGCTTTTCGGAGTACTCCGCCCAGCATTCTAGGCGATTTTGAAGATTGTTTATCGGCTCACCATCTATCTCACACAAGTGATTACGTCACACCCCTCTGTGTTTACCAGTTTACATATGTGTGTGGTCACATAAAAAGGGAGGAGTAATTGAGCCAAGGAGTAAGACCTGGACACTATGTATGGTATGTGGTAATCACATTTCAGAAAAAAGAATGTTTAGGCGAAGAAACATTGTTTTCTAATTAGGCCTTCGTGTTTGACTCTACACTTAACTGTAGACTTACAGCTCAATCAAAACAACAATCAAGTGGTTGGATGGTAAGAATAATTACAGGTTTTAAATAAATCATGAAAATGACAAGTTTGAGAAATCAAGTCAAATAATCAACAGAGTAATTACACAGGATTAAAAATGGTAATTTCAATGAAATGATAGAAGTTATTTTTTGGGGAAGTTGCATATTAACTGGTAAAGTTAGTAGTGTTCTTTCCCAAGTCATAATAAATACGTGAAAATAAGAAAGCGAATGAATATTGGTACAACAACAGAAGTAAAGGTATTCAAATTAATACTAAAAGTTACACCACGTTAATGGCCACGGTAATGAAAGTAGTTGAACAAATTTCGTCTACATACAAAGGTTAGGTTTTTAAACGTGAGTAGCAATCGCCTCTGCTATATGAAGTGAGCGAATACGTAATCCATGTGGTAAATTAGTTGGTATGCGATGAATAATTTTAAATGCGTTCCTGGTATCCAGTTGATGTCCAGTGTCAATTGATTGTGGAAGTATGAAGCTCTTTGTTGTTCTAATCTGTCCCTTAAACAACCGTGGTAGGTAGTGGTCATAAATTCAATGATGAAACCGTTCATCGCACGCCGAATGTAACTGGCTTCACAGCAGCAGCAGCAGTATTAGGCAGTTTGTATTTCTTTCACCTAAAACCGCGCAGTTGTAAAAGATAAAATATAATTTAGCGGTTAAGAATGCTTCCTGCAGGGCTGTTTTTATGCCCTGTGATGATCTCACTAGCAATGCCACTTTTCAATCCCAGCTTCAAGATTTGTTCTCAGAAACTGTTGGCATTCTTGTCTTGATCTTCGTAACATTCATATGCTTAGCTACGAACATTCCCGGATAGCCATTCCTACTCAGCGAGTCACGGATGACGTCGTACTCTTCCTCTATAGCATCATCAGAGCAAATAGCTGTGGCACAGTATGCTAGACATTTCTCCAGGTTCCTCTTGTACTGGAAGGGTATAGCACTAATGTCTAGTGGGTAGTAGTTAGACAAACGGGAATTACTTTTACCCTTAACATGTTCTCAAAAGAGGAAATGATTCGTTATGATGGCTTAAACTAGTCATCAGTGGTTAGTGGTGATCCAAAAGCACAAGACGTATATCTGACTACATCTTCCCTAATACATGTCTCGGCAGCAAAAAGACCATAAATGGCTGGCCGGCTATGCGGTCATGCACTAACCCTTCTTTCCCAGGTACCTCAAGGAAAACCTAACATTTCATGGTATATGTAGCCACGAAGTGTCGACCACTCTCACACCTCTATCAGCGCTTAAGTTCCCTCATACCGCTATCCATCCCTGATCCTTACTCTCTAATCTTCCTTCATGTCTCTCATTTAGCAATCCTACATCTTTGATATCTTGTAGCTCTGTGGCTTTCGACAACTATCTGAGTTCACAGAACATCACCTGTTAGGTTGCATGGTGATACTAACTGAATGATGCAAACCTCTCAACCATAGCCACACAAGATTGTCTTGAATAACATAGTATCTACTGGTTTTGCAGCCCTAATATCGGTCCCAGTGTTTAGTTGTACTCACTTTCAGGAAAATTTATTCTAGTCTTGTTTTCCGAAAACTTGCCTTTGTAAGGATTCATGATTTTCCAATGAATTGTAATGATTCAAGTTTACAGAAATTCATGCTACTGTAACCTCTCTATAGGCCAAAATAAAACCGCTAAGGTATGTTGTAGAGGCAGCACTCAGTGATGCTGTATCTCAGGAAATTGACCATCAATTCATTTGTTACTTTTATTTTGTCTAACTTGAGATTTTTCTATTTCTTGTAGTTTGTTCAACCTCCTTTGTCTTTACGGAAATGTAGTACGTATTAAGTTTTTGCGGACGAAGGAAGGATCAGCAATGGCACAAATGGGCGACAACGTTAGTGTTGATCGTGTCATTACCAATCTTTCAGAGGTTCCGTTGATGGGAAATGCATTGTCGGTACGATTCCTTTTCATTTAAAATGTGCTTTTTTGGCAATGCTTTGATTAATTAGTGACGTACATAAATTGTTTTTTATATATATTTAGTTCCTAAGATTCGTATCTTAACTCTTAGTGGCTATTTTCTTTATGGGGTAGTTTATTTATGGACATAAAAGCTCTAAAAGCGTACTTCGATGGTTCTTAATAGACACTGCCCGAGCGAGTAAGTTATTGCATCATTCAGAGTTTACAAGTCAGTGTGCTCTTTTACATTAGTCATCTGCTAAATCTGTAAAAAACTGGAGTAATTACTTCCGGATTATGTGTAACCTTATTTGAGCCTAATAGCATGCCATTCTGCTATTGATTGCTAATTAATTTTCGTTTCTATGGGAACCAAAGCATGTTCAGGAAAAATGGATGTTACTTGTGAGATATTCGGCCATCCTTGAGTCATACTTTCAACCTTTAGTTCTTTCTTCCTAAGCAGATACAGGGTATCCTAAGTCGTCACACAACAAGTTAGAGTACCTTACGTACTACATGAACCTGTACGAGGTTGGTAAGTTGCATTTTGAGTATGACTGTTGAGTCAGCAGATAAGTTTGATGCACTAAGTATTGCCACTTTGCTTCCAAATATTGTGGGAAACAAGTAAATGGGCACTTACGTCACCCTGTTAACAAACATGTATCATTTGCTATCACTGTTACTGTTCTGGGATCAGATGTCTAAGTAGTCCGTTCTTTGCATTAGTTTACAATTTGTTTGGATTTTTGATATACCCATTGGTTTATGACTCTACCGATAAATAACATCCATATGCGGTGGTTTGTCTTGCCTATGGCAATGATTACATCGTATACATTTTGAGATTTTTGTCCCTTGTCATGCAATATGACTGAGAAAGCTAATTTATGGACGCAGAATTGTACTAATAGGCGTTACTCAATGCTGTCTTTTTACTTGTGGAACCGATTGCGTTGACCATTTGCACTTGACAGGTTTTTTGAATGAAATCATGAAACATAATCACATTCAATTCCCCTCATATATGTTAGGTTTGGTCTGCATGTTCCTTTCAGATGTAGTACGTGGCAGATCTGTTGATTGAATAGCACTATTGTTTAGCACATCACCAGGTGAGGGAAGCAAATTATTTAAATTTTTGCAACCCTAATCCACTGCAGTGAGTGGGAGACAATGTCAAGAGACGTCCAGCAAGGCAGATGGTATTGTTTATAGGGAAAAAGTACTAAAGCTTACGACGTGGCATCCATTTGCATTCTCTTGTTTTGCATGTCATTCTGCACTATTTTTGCCCTTTATATTTCCATCTAGTAATTCGTATTTCTGCTTAATTTCTTACCAATCGATCGTTATCATTTTCGATGTTTGTGTATTAAATATATGCCTTCTTTACAGTATCTCTCACTACAGATGAACACCTCTGTCCAGACAATGACGGAGGTAAACTACAGCTAGAAAAATAGCTAGTGATGATCAACCAAGAAAATGGCACATACTCATCAAAGTTCATATGAGTGGTTTGCTGGAAATAACCGTTGGCGCTTTATTTTATAATAACACATTTCTTAGAATTAATTTTTTGTGCAACCATTTTGCATTTCGAATTTTGCAGCTCTTTTCTTTTTTCAAATAAGATACTTTATTGAAGAACGTGAGTCAATAAAAGCTTCTCAGATCACCCTGCATATCTCCCTAGCCAGAAATAGTTCAAACATATGATCGTTTTACTCGTTTTTTGTCTAGTCCATTAGCGGTGTGACCAAAAATGACCAACTCACAAACCCAAACTTCCCATACCCTCCAAATATACTTAGCCGACTTAAAATGGACAAACACTTCGCAGTTTATCATGCTGTTTGTTCATCAGTTTCTTTCATTCGTAACATTTTTCATAAGGAATGTCACCGTGACTGGATGATTTCCTGTGTAAGCCTTTTCGAACCTCCAATAAAGGAGTCGAAAAAACTAGGATTACTAACATGGTTCACTTAGTTTGTCCTTTATCTACTGATTGTTGTTGTGTGCTGAATAATCTATTTCAGAGGTTCTGACTCATTTTTTTTTAGATTCGTCCAAGCAAACAACAACTTATTTTGGATGTGCCGAAACCTTATGAATTATCAGATGGCTCTCCATCATTTAAAGACTATTCGGGTTGTCGTGAAAATAGATACATAAATCCTGACAAGGCGAGTAAAAATCGCATTTACCCGCCATCGCATACTTTACATTATTGGAATTGTCCTCCAAATTACACAGCAGAAGAACTGCGCAAGTTGGTTGTGGAGTGTGGTGCTTCACCACCTCGGTACGTGAAGTGATTTTTACGCCTGTTGTTATATGCCTTTCTCAATAAGTTTATATGATAATAAAAAATTGCTCAGTTTTTGCACTGCAGCTTTCTCGTTCACTAGTTCTGTCACTGTTTCCCATTATTTTGTCAGTTTATCATTCCTTCAATTCTGTTTTTGTACCTGAAGGTAGTTTTAAAGCATAGTAACTGGGTAAGGAAAGTGGTTTTTCGTGTATAATTTTTATGTCCGGTTTTCGGTACTGGATATCAACAGTTATTATGATAACTACTCTGCTTAAACAATTTCTCTTCCAACATTAAGATGTCAATCCATTCAGATAGAATTTTTAGCAATATATATTTCGACAGTAGAATGTGAACTAATTCAAGATTTGGACTGACTGTAGGAGTAGAAATAAATTTGGTTGGTCCAATGTTATGTGTAGGCTATTTGAAATTTAGGTCTTGCTTAGTAACGCTGTGCTAGGTTTTCATTATAATTTAACTCGTCACCCCGTACAATTTCGTACCCTAGGCGGCTAGCCGTGATTTTTATGCACAACCTGGATGCCCAAGCTTAATCAGGTGGATTTGAACCTATAACCCACTAGCTGATGTCGATTGCTTAGGTTAATGAGCTACAAACACCTTAAGTTTAGACATTCATTGTCTTCACATCTTTTTGAGAGATCATAAAACAATGGAACTACTACATCATTGGTTCAGCAATTAATTTTGCATGGATATAAGCGTGCACAAGGACCCATCTGTATTTCCTGTTTCTAGATATCTGAAGCGCGATCGTGAACATCTGCCTTTTTCTGAACAGTCTTTTTGTCAAAATTTACTTATACTCGATTGTATGTTCAAAATATTTAGTTTTCATTCTCTTAATTGTCCAGCGACTTGTTTCTTTGCTAATATTATGGCAATATTTGTTAATTCTTCATTTAATTCTTTGTACACTGATTGCAAGCTACTCGGTTTTAGGTAGCAGCTGAAACGTAAATTGATAGTCTTCGCAGTGATTGGGAGCAGCGGTGGATGGTGAAAACAAGAGTTAGGGAGAGAGAGAGTGAGTGAGAAGGCATCAACAATAATATCCGGCAATTATTTGCGCCTAGTAAGGATAATGGCAAGATAAAGATGATGGTTAGTGAAGCCATCACTGAAAAGAATAGTACACTGATAACCTCAGGAAAAACAGCTAAGGCGTTGGACAGAAGACTTTGAAACAGTTCAGCTGATCCACAACAACGCTTTAGTTACCCAGCTTCCAGCCTGCATCTGAATAGGACGTTGGTGTCCGTCCTCTAACTTTCCTTGGAGTTGAGGAAGCTATATCGTACCTAAAACGATGCAAACCTGCAGGACCTGACAGTTTGCCACCAGAAGTTTTCAAGGGATCAGGTAGGAAATTACTGACTTGAGCAATGGAGGTACTAGTCGGTGTGTGTGAATCAGAGGTGGTCCAGTTAGATTGATCTTCTTCACTGATCATTGCAATCCAGGGAGAGAAGTCTTGTTACAACTATAGAGAAATCAGTTTGACTAATTTCGTATCCCAGATCTGTGGGTCTATAGCTATCGGGGGCCTATCTGGAACTCCAGTAAATCACTGAGGTTTCAAATTTGGATGAAGGTGCGTCGACCAGACCTTCACCCCTTGACAGGTGATGGATCTTAGATATGTCTATTGGTGACCGGCACTCATCATATTTTTTGACATGAATTCCGCATTCGGCGTCATCGACTAAGAGGTGTTGTAGCATTGCTTGACTATAAAAGGAGTCCGAGCAAGTACTTACCGCTCACCAGAACTCACACAACCGTATAAAGGCTTATGGAAAGTTTTCATCTGAGTCGATGTCCACTGTTCCTTTTCCTTCGTTTAGTACGCATAACCTTAGATACTTCTGCCTTCATATGGATTGATCTACTCCCTAGAGGTTGACTTGGAGTACGCAGACGATATTGTTCTCCTAGGTTATGATACTGAAAAAATGCAGGATATATTGTATGCCTTGGGCAGAAATCTGAGTACGTTTAGCACGGTGAACATAGGAAGACGCTCCAGTATTGGTCTGTAGCTACTTCCAGTTTAAGTATAGTGTATTGGTTAAATACATTGACAGCTTCACTTTGGGAGTCGCATCAACCCGAACGGGCTGGTTGCTGACGAAATCTCTTCTCAGAAATGAAAGGCTCATTTGGGATTCGCCAGCCTACGTCATCTCTGGCCCCGATTAGGTATCCGAATATCCGTTGAAGGACGAGCATATTGCGGTGCAGTTAGTTCTGTCTTGTTAAACAGTTGATAGACAGCCGTTAAAAGTAGAAGGTATGGAGCGGTTACAGTTCTTTGTCGATTAGTGTCTTCGTAGCGCTGCTCATGTATGGTGGAATTACCATGTTAGCAATGTCGATGTCAGACAGAGCGTTTTAGGCAAAGAAGGGAAGTTGGTTGATAAATTCCGCTACCACGGTGACCCAGACACGTATTGCGCATGCCGAGCAGCTACCTATCTCGATGTCCAATGCCTAGAAGAAGTTGGATTAGGTTGGAAGAGAGTTCAGGGTAGCCAGAACAAGACGTGGGGTCAACCCTCCAGGTCACTGACTGTTGGTTTAAACCGTGAAGTGAGGTTTGGGCTACCTGGCTGGAATACCCGCGACGCTAGGAATCAGTTATATAGCTGAAAATCGGTCGCAACGATGTGTTAACTCTTTGAATTCTTCTAATAGTTGAGTGTTTTGATTGATCTGAGTTTTCGAATCCTCTCTCCTCCCATCTACATCCATCTACTTTGATATCAGTCCTTTTCTGTCCAATTGTTCTTTAGATGCTCTTGTGAGGAGTTGCGACCACGGATGCTCTTGTTTTCGAGGTTCTGCGTTGATTTTGTCTGTTTCTGAAAGCGGGAAGATAATTTGTTCACTTTCACCACCGCCCACTCTGAGTTACACTTTTCTGAAAGGACCCTTAGTCAAGGGAATTTCTACATTTATATAAAACGATGTCTTTTTTCCCTTTTGGTACTTATGACGTTTACAAGATATCCGAATGTCTAAGTTCGAACATACTGTTTTTTAGATGTGACCATCAAGGGTGAAGAGTACATGAAAACTTCGTATATTTGGCTCCATAGCATCGTTGATGTATTATGGAACTATTACAACAGCATCTCAGACGTTAGATGTGCAGTTTTATATAAGGGAGGAATCTCTGTCACATGAGATAGTTGGGTCAGATCACAAATCCTAATGCGACAACTTCTTTTGTTACACGGTTATAGTGTATCCTGTGTTACGTGTTTACTTGTTTACATTTCTGTTTATGCTAATAGACAATGACGGTAAATATGATCAATCAAACAACATATTTAGTTATTGATGTAATTTCAAATGAAGAGGTCCTTATTAAAACAACTTTCAACGTCTATTGTGTTAGCTTGTTTAATGGCGTCAGGAAATTAAGGTTTTTTGAAGGGTATTCATTCGCATTTTTTGTTTTGCTGCAGATATGGTAGTCCGGTTTCCCCAGTATTCAGTGCATTGAACTTAGTCTTTGTTCTTAGTGATCATCGACGTCATATTTGTGTTTACGAATAAAATACTATAAAGCATTTCGATTCAAAGAAGGGTCAAAAGTGCACGGAATACCCTAGAGTCATCATATCGTCTGAAACCGATTTTCACAGGTTTCTGTGTAGTGTTTGTCTCAATTGAGGATCGTGGTGCTGTAATGTATGTGACTGGAATTAATCACTACTTCACTTAAATCATTACATTCCTTGATGCACTAAGCAATAACCCCAGTTTTTCTTCTGGCTCGTGCTGTAATTATTGACCACCGTTTTCATTTGTCTTGTTTATTTTCGCGTTTTACTTGTGAATTATTTGCAGCCAAATTGCACCTTTTCCAAGAATAAGCGATCGATCCTCCTCAGGCCTTGTTGAATGGGGAACTAAGGATGAAGCTGTTACTGCTCTTGCTTTATGCAATCATCAGGCTATTCCGAATACTGAAGGTCGTTATCCATTTCTTCTAAAGCTCTCATTCTCCAGCTCCGCAGTCAATGATCGTGCTTTTCCAGGTTCCAAAAAGATTGGTTCATCTCATATCGGAAAATCAGCTGCATCTGTTGATTCCAGTGAATATGAGTAGAGTACGGGTATGTTAATCATTAGTTTTGTGTTTGATCTCGTCAGTTTTAGTTGACTGTTTTAATCGTTAACTGCTAATTTGCCGTGTCACCTATATCATTATCCCTTTCACCGTATCACTCATTAACTTGTTTCCCTAACATAATTCTCCTAACAACGCTCACACTGCTTTGTGGTTAAGACAGCTAAAACTCATTTTCGTTTAAAACATTTAACTTCTTGCCTTGTCCCCTAAAAAGGCTTATTTTTCGTCCTGCTTCTAAGGTTTCCCCCGTTTTAAAAACTTATTCCCTTGTTTGGAAATGAAATGCAAAGCTACCAGATTTTTTAAATTCTTCAGAACACTCATTACTAATCTTGAGCAAACGTCAAGTCGCCAGCTGTCTTGTGCAATATTTATAACGGCAGTTTTAACAGTTGCAAATAAGAGAAGTATGATAACTTATATCACTACACGTTTCCATGAGGTTCTTCCTTTTTTCTATGCGGCTGATCAGTGAGTGGGTCCTTTGCCTTCAACGCGTTTTTACCGAAAGCCTGATCTTTACTTGTATTTTAAGGCTTTTTCTCTGAGGTTTTCAAGTTGTGGATGTGTATTTTATGTGTGCGAAATCTGATATCCGTGTGTCTTGAGCTATAGCACTTAAATTAGAAGAAATGATTATTCTGTTACTTCGATGTAACATCCAATATTAGTGTTAGAGTTTTGTTAATCATGTCTAACGATCTCGTAAATCGTGGACGAGTTTTCCTAAGTCGCCTTTTTGTCGTCTATGAATATGATTTCAGGTCGTAGCCGGTTCTGTGTTACTTGTCGAGCATAATCCTTTGTGGTTGACAAATTGTGTGTGCATTTAGTAAAAAACTTTGTTATGCTTCTCTGGTTCCTGTTAAGGTGTATGTATGCTTGGAGTAAATTCGTTTCGTCTTCAAACTTAGTGATTGTGATAACAGTTTCATCCTGATTCTACTTTTATAAGGTTTGCATGATGTTCCGATCGGAGTCGGTGAAAATTATCATTCTCACTTTGTTCCTTCGTGAAACGAAAGATAGTTTTTTTTACATTTCGTTGGGATGCTGCACAAGTTTTTTTCTGGAAATGATAACTGCAAATGCAGAATGCCCATTATTTATGTCTTTCTTTTTGGATATTCCTTTCACCTTTTACCATTTTTTCGAAGCATTGCCTACATCGTTAGGTCCAAACAGCATCAAAAATTAACGAGGTTTTAGACATGATCATGAGACTCCACCAACTGATGCGACTGAGAAAATGTATTTCATCTTTTGAACCGTCACCAGTTGACGTAAAATAAAATAAAAACGTTGAAGACACCTATACTGAGACATAGCTTAAATCAGTACCATTACTGTCTTAAGTTCCTCAGGGTATGGGAAAGTTTTAGATTCCTTATCGGGTGTCTCGAAGTGCAGAAAATCTGCATTAAGGACTTAAGCGACACAACTGGAGATTGATGATAGGATTTGTAGTCGTCGCTATTCTTTTCCCATATGTTAGATATACTACTACTACTCTTCGTTTATTTGTCTGTATCAGCCCCCTTTTTACCACAATCTGTTTATGGTTTAGTTTGTAACGAATAGGTTTCAGGTTCAAACAACACCCTACCTTCTTAGGTTTGAGTAGTCGTTTTTACCGCATCCCATTCCTTAGTATATTATCTTTCACGTGGTATTTGTTAGGTGCCAAACGTGTGCGCAGCGTCGAGAATGTTCTTGGCCGTTCGCATTTTAGTTCACATTTTGTTTCATCTCACTTGTGGGTGACCAGTTTCTCGTTAATATTATCATATTTGCATCCGTTATTGGCATTTCGCCAAACATCTCTGCAGATTAATACAAGACTAATTGGTTGTTATTCTTGGTGCACATTGATATACTCTTAGTCCCACTATTCTAAATGTACTTAGGAAAATGTAATATTACATGTACATTTTAATTCTCTAATCATAAATCTTTCTTGTTTTAATTTCATTATCAAAGGGCGAGTAGTAAGCACATTGAACCTAAAGTTTATCCTTTCTCTAGGAACACCTTCATTTCAGGTAACCGGATCTATCTTGTTCACTATGAGTTGTCATCTGAAGTGGCAACAACCAGCAGTGTCTACCACAAACTCCCACCACTGTCATTATTCCTGTTTGACTTTGACATAGACGCGCTTATGAACGTAACCGTAGGTACCCCTGATTTCAAACGGATTGACTTACTTCCAGTAGGGTACTTGTTTGACTAGCAGTACGCAAACGATAATGTTCTGTATATCGAAGAAGCTGACAAAATCTAGAGTTCTCTGAATGCCTTGAGCAGAAATCTGAGTATGTTCGCCATGCGTTTCCCACCTGTCAAATGTAAGATAATTGGTCGACACGTATAATGGAATCACCGTACGAGTGATTTCAAGAATAGGTGGAGGTTATTGAGCGAGGAAGGCTAGTTAGTCCATGAGTTTGTGAACCTTCGCTGACTGAGATGGTCGCGTTTGTTGGGGCACCGACTCTCTCGTTATGCAATGTTAACCAAAGTAAAAATGAGTTGGATGGTTGCCCAGGGTGGCCAATCTAAACATGGCACTAATACATGAAGTCTTTGACTGCTGTTCTAAGCCATGTGGGTTAGTGTAGACTACTTGATTGGGGTCCTGAAGAAGAACGGAACGCAGTTGGGAACCATCTGTAACATGACTGAAAGTCGATCGCAATGGTGCAGATGTATTCACTCTTTGACATTCTCCTAAAGCGTGAAAATCTTCACATCTTAATTTTTCTATTCCTTCCTCTTTGTGTAATTTGGTATCAGTCTTTTCCTATCCACCTGTTCGTTACATGTTGTGAAACATGGTGACTTGAACTAATACACTTAGCGACGCTCTGCATTTACTAGTCTCTCGCACACTTTTAGGACTACTTTTTATTTCCGTTGAAATTTGCTCGATAGTATTTACTAGCCATAGGATTTTGCGTTGGAAAACAAAGTAACAATCTTATTCATGTAGTTTTTACTGTGTGCTTTGGAAATAAAGTGGTGGATAAATTTACGTTGCATTCCTGATTAAGGTTATACTATGGTTAGTCAGTTTTTATATCTACTTCTCAGAAAGTTATGTTATGTCAACATATTAAATAGCCAGTTTATTGAACACTTCAACATGTTGAGAAGAAAGTGCATTATGTTTAATTTCCTGTGATAAAAATGCTTTTATTCTAGCTTAATGGGTCATAGTCAGACATCATTATTCACTATTACTGACTTTCAGCTTTGAAATCCTTCTGAAAACTAATTTCATTGATTTATGTTCGTGACAGTTTACTGGGGAAAATAATATTTAGTTTTCATCCTTAAATTTTAAAAGTACATAACAGCATTTCTTGTTATCACATCACTTGGTTTCAAGCTGGTATACGTAAATACCGAACTTCGTCGGTGAATATACATAACAAGTATGCAGAAAAGCAAAATATTAACAGATGCCATATCGTGTAACCGAATCATATTGCTGTGCATTGTATCTTTCACCAAGAAATACAAATTTTTTGATATATTCCTTAAACTATAATTCAGAAATCTGTTGTGCAAATAATACTCCGAAACCAACGAATCATGGGACTAACTGACGATAATATTTGGGTAAAAACTTCGTTGTTTTTAGTCTTTGGTCTATGGCAACTCCGTAACATTTCAGAAATTGACAATAACTTCGCTTTTGTTACCAAGTTCGGTAAATGAAGTGGACTATAAAAAGACGTAGTAATCTTTTTTGTGCAACGATAATTGTTCCACATGACATTTTACGGACATGAACTCAGTTCGACGAAATTTGAAGAAGTCCTATATCCTAAAATATGAGAGGCAGACGCCGGCAATACATACTACGACAGCGAAGAGATCAGGAGACAATCGGTACAGAATTTGAAAAGGTTAATTCTTTATGTCAGTGCCCAATGATGTGAAATCGGTTTCAAAGGTACTTGGTATTTTTAGATAAAGTCTACAGAAACGTTTGAATAAAGCTACATGGAGTAAAAAAAACACTAGTACAAATATTATGGTGTACATACATTGTGGTAATAGTTGGTGTTCATCGCACACATACTGTTGATTTTCTATTTCTTGATTCTTCATCATTGAAATTGCTCAAATGTTGTTACTCATGGAGATTATGTGCAATTTCGTTTTAGAAGTTTGCATGGTACTGGTGGAACTATCGCTCATTCTGTGTGTCGAACATCTTTCATAGGTGCATAGTGAGGTTCTTTTTCTATGCTTAATACTCTAACTAGCATCGTCATTGTCAAGTTGAAGTGCATTTTTCGGTACTCATTAGTGCGTTTAACAAACGTAAGTCGATTCTGCCCATGAGGCCGAATATTTCAATGTGCTACGGATACATGAAACATATTTTCTTGCCTACTCGTCACTGTTGACTGATGCTTATTTCACACTACGTTTTCTGGTTTTTTGAAGCATTATTAGTGATATTGCACACGGGCTGCATTTTTAAAATCCTCTTCTCGGTACTTGAGTGCACTATAGTTTGGCTAAGGCCTAAAGGTTTACCTCATGTTTTTAGGGTAATTTCGTTCCTATTTTAGTTGATAGCACAGTTCTAACAAATGCAACGACGCTTGCTCTTGTTACATTTCGATGAAAGTATTTTAATGTCCCTTCAGTATACGCATTGATATACATTACTCACAAATCTTTTATTGTAACTTCATGGCCAACTATCATGACATACTTTGCAAGCTAAAAATTATCCGTACATTAATTGTTCATTGTTTCCTCATCAGACTGTTCGATCAAAATAACAAAAGAACACAGCATTTGTCACCAAAACCATTATCATATTCTTCACATGGTGATTCCTCTGGTACATCAATCAACGCAGTCGCACTTTGCATTCAACTAATCACATAACCGCATATTGAAGCTCCACTACACATCAGTCTGCAACGTAAATTCATTTAATTCATATTGTCACCTTTAACTTTTCTGTTTAATTAGCCTCCCACTCATATACATACATTTATATCATAGTCATTTGTTTTAATTGGTGTGCCTATGGCTTTGACTATTGATAACTGTTATTCATATCTATGATGATTGCATTTTAAATCTTAATATACTTTTGGTGCCAATTGTGTTTTGTTCAACTAACTGCGTGTGTTTATGTTGCTGTCAATGTTTAAAATTGATGAAGTACGCATTCGCATGCTTTTACTCACTTGGTATTTATAAATAGCTAATCCTTACAGTTTTCATATTCAAAGTATATTCTGAAGGTTGGCTTATAGGTTTTTCATTTCATCTGATTATTCTTATTCTTATTCTTGTTCGTTTGATAGCCATTTTTCTTCCAGTGACCAGTGTTTCCTTCCGTTGATAATTTTCCACATTTCTGCATTTTATTTAGTCACTGTTTTACGTAAACATTTTGCTAGTGCATTTTAACTTAGGATAGTCGAGTGAATACATTCCCTTTACATTCTGCCCTAAGATGACTGTTCAGTTATGTGCAGACAAATATCACTGGTCAACCTACATAGCAAGTCATGTAATGCCTGCTTACTGTGGTAAACTTCATGTGTATGAGGAAAATAGAATTCAAGAGACTATGACCTTTGTGAGATGTGAAGCAAATTAGTTCTGCGGCACATTGAAGTTCGAGCGTACTTACGGAGTTTTTGTTTCATTTCTGCAACGGATCAGATTCTAGATACTTCGGAATACTGTTTTTAAACTATCAGTAAAAACCACAACTCAGGATGCTTATTTCTAACTGTATTCTCTGGAAATCCTTTCTATAAATTGTAGAACTGAAGTCACACCAGATTTTCGTGCGACCACATTCACAGCTCTTCCACATAAGCTTGTAGACGATTGTTCAATTATTTCAGGTTAAAACTCAAGCCCTTTACCGCCTGCATAATCAAGCAAAGCTTAAATGAACTTTTAATATCAACAGTAAAAGCTTTTAACGTTTCCTTTAATTATAAAGTTAGTATTTTTCAACCAATTTCTACGTTACAGCAAAGTTCCAAGTGTTGCATTTCATATTCACATTTCAGCATACATCCATACACGCAAACACTCCATTTTCTGTTCTCAGCTGGACATATGTAATAGCATATTTGTGGTATAAATAATTAGAATCCGGATTTCTCTATTTTACTGTTACTTTTACTGAGTATTGGAATTATGTTCACTTTCCTGGTCATCTTTTGTTACACTAAGTCAATCCAGACTCTGCATCTTGATTAGTTTATTTTACATATTTGTTCTGTGCTTATTTTACTCAAGACATGCAGTATATCACCCGAAAAATAATAGTCGTCGTCTTTGATTTGAGAAAACAGTAAATTCCTAGACCATTTTTCACATTTTTCGCTAAGAAGTATTTGTTTGTTTGCCGTAAAAACATTTACCGTTCATGTTTGCGAAGTGAAGTTGCTCATAGTTTTATGCAAATCACGTTATATTTTGCTTGAAATGCTCGTTGTAATGTGTCAGTTCTGAACGGTCTTTTCTGACGTATTCGTTTGTTAGGTGTTATACCTTGTTTTTGTGTGTAGTTCGATCGATCTAACCACTATGTTGAGCCTTTTATGCAGACGTTTCACCAACTATATGGCGCCTCATTTGGATGTCGTTTGAAAAGTGTGGCTTGTTACTTTTATTCAACCACATGTAGGAGTGTTTTTTTCTTTGTCGAAAAGCACAATTTTATTACATATGGAGCAGTACATCATGTGGAAAGTTTGGTCGCTACGGTAGGGTGAAACAGGCGCTCTTGTCAGTTTCAAATCCCACTTTTCTCAGAAATACTATACTTATCTCAATAAACTGGAAAAGAAAGTTAACTGCATGGTTTTTTGTTGTGACACAGATAAAGTTCCGTTAAGCGCTAGTTGGTTCTTCATCTACATTGTGAACTGCTTTCATCATATTGGTCTACTCAGGGGACGATCTTAGCATTTCATAATACAGTCATCTTTTAATTTGAAGTTGAATATTCTACAGGCACTAGTGATGGCTAAATAGACCAAGTGTCGGCTTACTGCACCAAACTTACCATCTTTCAGTTATCTCATTTTGTAGCTGAGGGTAAAAGTAGAATGTGGCTGATTTCCTATGGGAAGCTGATACAATCTTGTTTAAAGAAACGCAATCAACGAAACTTCAATTGATGCCAATGTCTGTTCTCAGGATAAACTATTGTGGTCCGATCATAGTATGAGCGCCGGAAAAGCATACACTAGGCCAGCACCCTGGCTGCTTCTTTTTTGAGACATTTGACTGATCTGTTTTTTATTGGAAGAAGAGGCATAGTACACAACTGATAATGTTCGTTAGCGTAAAGACTTGTAAAGTTAGAATAATTCCGTTGGTTATCGCTCCATAATTGTGATATCTAGTTTGCACAGTCAAATAACAAAGTAGTTTTCAATACATTGGCAAGATCTCGTCTCCACATTTCGGTGGTTTCCTTGTCATACCACTCTTTTAGATTCATGTGTTATACATATACTCAACCAAAAGGTGTTTATGTGTTGACCATGAGTAGCGCATGCTAAAAAGATTACAAAGGTTAGAGCGGTAAGTGACTGTCATTGGTTATTTTGACGTCGAAAAAAACTATGCAAAACTTCAGTGTTACATGAGATCATAGAAAAGAAGTCTAGGTCTAAGATTTATTAGCAAGGTAGTCGACTCTAACGCTATGAAAAGCACCTCGAGAAATATTTCATCTGGCCTCCAGCTACCATTCCGTTTTCCACTATCCAGTTGCATCTGGAAAGTGATAGGCGGACAGACCTTCAAACTCTAAGTAACCGGAAACGAGGAAACGCACGAAGAGCGTATGGGTTTATACTCGACGTATTTGAGGACGATGGTCGAGGATTAACAATTACGGTAACTGAAACGACAGCTGGTATGTTTGTAAGAATCAAATGTGAACCTCCTATTGATTGTCCCGGTCTTCGAAAAAGTTAGGGTAATCCTTTTATAACAACGTCAGAAAAATCAGTTCGAAAAACATGGTGCCAAGTCTGATAGTCATTCGTAACCCAAGTGAAGTACGGGAGCAGCAAACTTGATGCGACCAGATAGACTCCAAACCTGAACGTGGGTGTGTCACATATTTACACTCTCCGTCAAGTTGTGCAGTACAGGCAACTTTACTAGCGCGTGGTATCAACTGAAGGCGTTATATGGCTTTGTCGGTCGAAAAGTCTTATAGCAATGTCTCTAACTGAAAGTCGTCCCGTGTAGGTATGTCACCCTATTGAAGGCACTTTAAAGGAGGACCCGTGTCACATTGGGGTTTATGTAGGTGTATTAGGTGTGTTGTACGTCAACCATATCTACAATCTTCATTATATAGTCTTTTGTAGACGTACATATGCAAGTCTTCCTCTCATCATATAGCTTCATAGAAGTTGACCTTGCTACAGGAAACTCCTTAGTAGACTTAGAGTTTTCAAATGGCATAGTCTTGTTAAGTAATGTTGAGAGTATAGAGATGCTTGGAACTTGGAGTATTTCTAGAATGTTTAGGATACGACTTTTACCATTCATATGCAAGGAGGTGCTACAGGATTGGTTTGCGTTGCTACTTCCTTTAACGGCAAGAAACTAAGTGGTTGAGCGTGTTGATCACTTCTCTCACCTAAAGCATATTAGCCTTGGTTGCTCAGTGACCGATGAAATCTCTGCGCAGGTACAAATGTCTTATCTGCCTTTCGTCAGTTTATGCCATCGGAGTATATGATTGCCAGCTTAAAGTTCAAGTACACTGCAGTTCATTCTCTTCTCATATTTGGTGATAGAGGAAATGGAGAGGTTTCGAGTGTTCGACCATCCTTTGCTTCTCAGCACTGGCCGCATGTTTTCCTCCCACTGTGTCAATAATGTCGAAGTCATTCGTGTAGTTTTTAGCTCAACAAGTGTTAACCTTCACGGTTTGGCCACGTGCCACCTAAACTAATTTTAAGGTAGACAGAGTTCGAAGGCTACTAAAGGGAAGCGTAACGTCAGTCTTTGATTGTTGTCTCAAGGGTGTAAGCAAATGCAAACCACTCCGTTAGGGGTGCATACCTAACAACGGAAGTAGCTTGTTATAGACTTCGGTGACAGCCGAAAATCTATGTATTTACACTTTGTTTTTTAGTATTTCCTGCACTTGTTTTCATTATTTTTTATTCCTCCTTTTACGACTTTCAACTACTTTTGATTGCCTTTTCTCTGTTTTCCACTGTGGTGTCTACGATCTTAATGTGTTGATTCGAGGTGTGGTAACTCATACTATTACGCAGTTATGTGAGGTGTTGCTGACTGAGTGCATCTTATAATATTCGATTCACTGTACTGAATTATGCAGGAATTTTTAAATTCAGTCTGAATTGTGGGAAGAAACACATTGTGTAAAATTAGCTTCATTCTAAACATCATATTTTTTTGGTAAACATCCACAAAAGTAAGCTGTCTACTGACTTGACTCATTGAAAGTCAGTGTAGATGCTTTTCTTCTGCGATCATTGGGATGAATGGCATTTTGTAGAACTCAAACTATTCTATTATTGTTTGTCTTTCTACTAACCTCGTCATATTAGTTAAACAGATGGTGTAGTTCATTTTTGTTGCATGTGTTGTATTTAGCTTTTGTTAGATTAGCGTCTCTATCTGTCACAGAGGTATCTTTTTACGTCAGATTGTACCAATTTAGCATTCTTTCCGTGATATCTTGTATTGTATCCAAAAATAACGGCACGTACGGTTTTACTTTCTTTTATTTGCATGATGATTTCGTGAGAATTAGTAGTAAAAACGTTTATGCTGCAAGGATATTTTAATATCAGTTGTGTGTTGATGTTGGTTTGATTTTTTTTACAAGGTGTTCACTCATGTCCCGGCCGTTAGCCGTTGCTTTGATGTGGTGGTCGGGCTTGCATATCAAAATGACCCAACAAGCTACGCAGGTAGAATGCTTGTCATTTTGAGGTCCTGTCATTGCAGAAAGGTCTGCTGGGTAGTGGTGAGACGTAAAGTAGTTACCGTTCTGGTGTAAATTACTACACTGTAATCGGGGTCTGAGGACGAAGTCGTATCGCTGCTATCTGGATGGGGTGTGATAGCAGTGCGGCGTTTCCATTGGATGACAGGTAGTGCCACTCTGATGCTGCCTTCTCAGTGGAAAGGGTGGTCAGAGAAGGTCAGCACCAAAAGTAACGCACTCCACCGTGCCCCATGGTGCTGGGATTGTAGATTTACTTGTCTATCCGGCGTTAGAACAACCGAGCCTCAAAACAACAAATTACAAAAGGCTATTTGTCAGGCTTCAGGGAGATGTACTATGGGTTCTGGGTACCTTAGGCAGAAATAGCCTCCCACGGTATGGGTAGTCGGGAATCGTCAACCGCTCACACGCTTCCAGTAGTACACAAGACCCAATCAAACGTAACCTATCGTCTTCAACTCTATCTCCTCCTTTACCTTCGCCCCTTGATACTAAAATAAGACATTTTACGCCTCACCCAACCTCACTCTGCAACCATTGTCAACGATCAAAGCTATTGAAACCTCACTCCTAGTATCCTAATACCGTGCCATCGATTTCATGTAGGAGCTTTCATGCCAGAACTCTGCCAAATCCGACGGCAACGATCACCCGCCAGAACTCTGCAGTTGGGAGCTATGAAAGTGTGCTGTATCTCTTAGAAACGTATACAGGACCCGATTTTGTTTATTAAATTGACCTCACCTAGCCATAATAGTGAGTCTTCAAGATCTACCTTAAGAGTATCCGAAGACCCAGAGGCCAACTTACGTGGACTCGCTAATGTAGACACAGCATCGAGTAGTAGGGCAGAGCGTGCGATTCTTTGCTGGATACCATCTATGTGCTGTTTGACTGAATTGGTTTGTAAGCACTAAGAAAGATTGTGAAACTAGACGATACCGATTCGTAATCTCCGCCAACGCACCAACCGACCGTAGCTCGGATGATGTAAGAATGAATTCTATGGAAAGCTGATAATTTTACTACAGGAAACAAAACGCTCCTATGTAATCATAATGGCAGCTGACTTTAAAGCTCAAGGAGGGAAGGTGAGTTAATCGGAGAGGCATCTGGTAGGTATTTACGAGATCCCGTGGTAGCGAACGGAAGACGGTGATCGTCTGTGGAGATTTTCCTCCGAAAACCACTTGTTTTTGGTCAGCACTCACTTCAGGCATAAGGAGAGACACTGTCTCACATGGCTTCACCTGACTTCAAACCAACGACGGACATATAAATTACACTGCTATAAGCCATCGTTGGAGCATTGGTGGAGGATTGCAGCTCTTTCTGGAGTACCTGTTTGGAGTCCGACCACATGCTAGTATGACCTTATGTAAGTCTGCCCCTTACTGGTCGCAGTTAAAACAGGTCTAAGGTTGACTGGGAGACGAATAGTCAAGTTCGAATTTATTGAAGAAACAGTCAAGCATTTTTTCTGAACGGGACATCAGTGCTCATCCTGAGGAAAATTTGGCGTGATATTAGGTATGCTGTTGAAACAACGGTAAAGACAGTGAGAATCACCTGAAGGTTAACATACGTCATTGGATTTCCGCGATGTCATCCGAAATACTCGATACGAGAAGACTGATTCCAGACGGCTCTGACCATGGCGAAGAGTGTGAGCAACTCAAACATCAGTTGACTGTGAGTCTTCTTGTCGGTCGTGAGAAGTTGTTGGTCGCGAGAGCAAGTGAGGTAGAGAAGTCATCAGCGTTGGGTAACACCCTGCAGCTGTTTAGGCTTATCAAAGATACCGGTGAGGAAAAGGTGATAGTCGGTAAGTCATCATCAA